AAATACTATTCTATGGCAATTCTTAAGAAAATAATATGTATTTTGCTGATCCATGCGCAGAAGCATAAAGCGGCTTAATGCCGTATGCGTTCTAATGCTCGGCTCAGGTACTTTTAAGCGTGCCTACCACTGAGAGTCGCGGATGATAGGAAGACATCTGTCCCCTCTCTCTGTCTGACACACACACAACACACACCACACACACACACACACACACACACACACACACACACACCACACACACACACACCACACACCACACACACACACACACACACACACACACACACACACACACACACACACACACACACACACACACACACACACACACACACACACTGTCTTCTTCACAATCCTTTTGGCCTTATACTTAATATAAGCTGCTGTGTGTGTGTGTGTGTGTGTGTGTGTGTGTGTGTGTGTGTGTGTGTGTGTGTGTGTGTGTGTGTGTGTGTGTGTGTGTCCAGCAGCACCTCTACTATTACCTGACCCGGTTCAAACTGAGATCCACAGATCAGGACAGGATCTGTCTCCTCCGCAGTGCTCCGACACTCACAGGCTTCATTTAACTTATTTTTCAATCAGCGCTAGTTAGCTGTTTCAACAGGATTAACATTGTGTTACCTGCTAGAACAAGTTAGTGAATAGCTTGCAAATGTGCTGCGGCATTTGGGTTGGCGAACAAAACATAGCTAAAAGGAAAGTGAATATCAAGGGTATGGTTTCACATAAATGCTAATGTTGCTATGTGTCTGATTACAAAAGGAACCGTTGCTGCCCCAAGTGGCCAAACATGCAATGAATGCAGATTTAATGTGTCTCTTCTAACTTGACATCTCTTTTTTTCCAATCAAACACCAGGAGATATGTAAAGACCCTCGTCTGTTTGTTGACGGCATCAGTACTCGTGACTTGCACCAAGGCAGTCTGGGTAACTGCTGGATGGTGGCTGCCATTTCCTGCTTAGCATCTGAGCCATCTCTGTGGAAGAAGGTATTTGTGTCTTCCTTTGTTTATTGCTTCCTTCCACTTTCCCTACCTCCATGGCTTCATCTCATAACTCCTCCTCACAGGTGATCCCAGACCATGTGGACCAGGAGTGGAACCCAAAGCGTCCCAACCTGTACGCCGGCATCTTCCATTTCCGGTTCTGGAGACTCGGTCGTTGGACGGACGTTGTCGTTGACGACCGTTTGCCGGTCAGCAGTGATGGAGTGCTGCTATTCTGTCGCTCGGCCACTCCACGGGAGTTTTGGAGCGCTCTGTTGGAGAAGGCCTACGCCAAGTAAGGACCAGGGTCTTGTAGTTTTTCTCCCTTCTTCAGGATCCAGTCTACCCTCACTTACCCTATTGTTATCTACATGTTATTCTAACATTTGACAGATTCTTCCTTGTCTTTTTAAACAAATAAATCTCTTGACCAAGCATTAACGGCAACATTCGGTGTTGGTCCCCCTGCCAACATTTGCTCACTTGACAATTATACAAATTGTAATCCGGAGCTAACGCAACAGCTGTAGCGTCCTCAGACCCCATTTCCACACATTTGCTATTGCTGTATCCATGACATTGCCAAGATGGAGACCATTGAGAGTTAACGGGGTCCAATGTTTCAAACTCAACCATTTGATGGTTTTGAGTTCATCAAAACGCACTGCATTTTGCCATATCTTTTCGGGGTTTTGCACTAAAACTACCAAGTGTATGTACGGAAGAATGCAAATCTTTTTGCCATAATCACAAACGCTATCTAACGTTAACCATACTTTAGTTGTAGATATAACCAAATGGATGTAAAATAACGAGTCCATTAGAGGTTTAGCTGTCGTCAGGTTGATGTCCTTATAGTAAAAGAAAAACACCTATGCACCTTGAGTTGCCATTATAACTATCATCATCCAGCAAAGGAACCACAAAGAAGCACACAAGCAACCACCATACAGTAGCAACCTGCTAGCACACTCTCTTCATAAACACCTAGTATACACATTCTAACATGTCTGAAACTTCCAATAAAAAAATCTTCATTACCATATGTGCAACAACTCATAGATGCACCAATGTAAAACATGATGTAGTTCTACAAACAGAAAAACCTGTGAGTGGAAAATTGAAAGGAAGAAGAGGGGCTCAGCCATTAATCATTCAGTGAATATATCTGGTTACTCTGTAGGCTAAACGGCTGCTATGAGGCCCTTGAGGGAGGAAACACCACGGAGGCCCTGATCGACTTCACTGGAGGGGTTTCGGAGCCCCTAAGCCTGGATCGTGAGGCCCTCAGCCAGCACAGCGACCAGAGGAGGGCCTTCTTCCAGACATTGGCTAAAGCTCATGAACGTAAAGCCCTCATCACCTGCTCCATACGGGTAGGTCTTAGCACCTCTGAGTATCTTTGAACAAAAGAGAACTCAGGCAAAAAGACAAAAAACGGTATTCTTATTCCTCAGCCGGCAGAGGGGGAGACAGTGGAGTCGGTGTTGGACTGTGGCCTGGTGCGAGGACACGCCTATGGGATCACAGCAGTGAGGAAGATGAGGCTGGCGGAGATGGGTTGGATGTCCCGACTCTTCATGGTGCGCATGAGGAACCCATGGGGGACCACGGACTGGACGGGTGCCTGGAGTCAAGGGTGAGGGTCTTCTGAACTCCACACTGACTTCATCTACCACATGTCCGACTGCTGAGTACATCACACACTTTGCTGGAGCTGCGGGAATAAAAAACCTCCGCTGACATTTAACAGTGTCAGGCTGCTTTACAACATTTCATAATCACAATTTCCTACATTTTACAATAGTGTTGGACATGTTTTACAAGGGGACATCTGCCGTTCGCATTATGGAGGTCTGAGAATCTCTGTAAATGGCCAAAATGGACCTATAAAGGTTTCCAGAAGTTGAAACGCTACTTGTACTTTTCACATGTCATTTCCAGTGTGTTGAACCTTGCAGCCATGGATTTTCTTTTGTTTTGTTTACGATTGTCCTTGAACGCCCCCTGCAGGTCGCAGGAGTGGCATCAGATGAGTCGTGCAGAGAGGGAGAAGATGGGCCTGATTGTTCGAGATGTTGGGGAGTTCTGGTAATTTTCCGGGTTTCAAGTTTATTTATTGGCATTTTGATTCGGACAAAAAAAAGAAATCACATCTATGAATTTAACCGACATTGTTATAGTAAACCAAGTGAAACGTAAACATCACATATACAAAATATGCAAATATTAGTAGTAAACTATAATGAAAACTAATTCAAGAGAATTCAAAACAAATATTTAAATAAAATAAAAGATTGGAATGGACATGTGAACGTGTTAATAGGTTTTAACAGTGAGTTAGTTACAAAGCTAGTAAACAAGAAGCTACTATCCAGTTATATATTTCATACTAACTCGACAATATATTTGTTTTAATTTAGGAATTTCCATCAAATTCTATACATTTCTATTCTATTCCTTAATAGCAAAGGTTCATTTCTATAAGGCAAGACATTGAAGTCGTTTTTTAGCCACTGACTGATAGTGGGGGTTTTCAGGGGTTTAAAGTAAGTCTTGAAAACTTTAATATTACAATATCTTTACATTTTGTATTATTAGTTTGGTTTCCAGAGCAAAGAAAAAACAATGGAGAATGTCCAGGTCTTCTCCTGCTAATGTATTTCCTTTCCTGTTCCCCAGGATAGATTTTGAGGATTTCTGTCAGTACTTCACAGACGTGGTGGTGTGCCGGATGGTGGAGAGCTCTCTGTTGTGGCCCAGCTCTCACTGGAGGGAAGTACGCTGCTATGGGGAGTGGGCGTCAGCTCCTAATTCCCCTCCGTCCACCATCTATCCCAGCAACAACACGCTGAGCTTGGGAAAGACCAACGCCAAACCTGGAGAGACTAAGCAGCGAGGTAACAGGAAGGAGGCCAGACTTGGGGAGCCGAAGGGAGGCAAAGGAGGGAAGCGTGAGCAAGATAAGGCTGTGAAAAAACAGAAAAAGGAAGAGGATGGTGCAGAGGTGGGAGGATGGGAGGCACAGATGGACAAGAGGAGTCGGTGTGGAGGGTGCATCAACCACAGAGACACTTTCCTGCACAATCCACAGGTAAAACTGAGAAGGATACTAAGTATTTTCAAAGATGCGTGAAATTCTTAACTTTAATTTCTGTTTCTAGTTCATGTTTGAGGTGAGAGGCAAAGAGGAGGAGATGTTAATCTGTCTGCAGCAGGAGGACAGGAGGATACAGAGGAAGGATGGAGGAGGAGAAAACCTGCCTATTGGCTTTGAAGTGCTGAAGGTGAGCAGTTCAGGGACCAAAGTGTGTTCAGGTCTCACAAAAACAAATAACGCTGCCTTACCGTGGCCCAGGTGGAGGTGAACCGCGGCAGCCGGGTGCAGTGTGTGGTGGAGCAGGCGGCCAGCTCCGTCTACATGGACTCCCGCAGTGTGACCCTGAGGGGGGCTCTGACCCCGGGGCGCTACGTGGTGCTGCCCACCACCTTCCTGCCAGGAGCAACAGGACGCTTCCTGCTACGCCTCTTCTCCCACTCCCACATCCCTCTCAGGTCTGTGACAGGAAATGTGTGTGTGCATGGGATAATCACAAATTGTTTAATACTGTATCAGAACATTTGGAAAATATTGGGTGAACCCAACTTAGATCGTTGCTTTTGTTTGTTTGTTTTTACCTGTTCCAACTGAAAGTGCTTTGTGAGCCTCCCACGATTTGAGCTCAAATGAAGCTAAAAAAGTAAACCATTCATAGATTTAAAGTAAAATAAATCATTTATTGTGTAATATGAGTTTGCATAGTAAATGGATTTCGATGTGCATTAGGGTTGATTTTTTTCTGTGAAAAAGAAACCCAGGAAAGAACGTTAATAAACTAAATGGCTAGGAAAGTAAAAGAAAAATGAAACATATACACAGAAAATAAAACAAATCCCCACAAACAAATAAACTCCAAAATAAGGATGTGTTGACACCCAAAAGTTGGTGCAAAAATCGTTTTAAATAAGCAATCTTTTGGTGTATTATTTTTCAATGCAAGCTTGGATAGCAAGTGAATGCAGTTTAGTGAGGACTTTGTTTGCCCTCATATTTAACCCTGTAAAGCTCAAATATAGAAAAACATTAGAATGTATTTGACCTTTCAGATGTTGTTGTAGGGAGCCATTTTGGTACGTTTTTAGGGAAATGTTGTAATATTGCAACGTTGGGCTTAGGTGGGAGCAGAATTCCTGTATTTCTACTCACATTGTCTGAATAAATATATTGAACAACTAAGGGTTGATTTGCAGGATTGATTGCTTACTTAGCCCTATATAAGTATATAGCATGAATAATAATCACACAGCAGTCATATTTTTTATGAATAGTCATTTATTAAATATGAAGACAATGGTAGTCCCAAAAACAGTTCCTATTGTCGGGAAAGAAAAGACGGACGTCACATTTGGTGCATTGTGTGTTTGCGTACCCTTTACTGCAGTGTCTGCAGCGTCCTCTCTTTGTCTTCACTGGAAAATGTGCCATTAGGTCCTTGCGTACATCCAGTGGAGGCTGTGATCTCTTGGATGGGGCCCCGTTTGGTGGACTCCCATCACCTGAGGATGGTCCCTTCTGAGCATTCAACGGGCTCCTCGATGTCACTGTTGCTGCTGGGCTCCCGTTAGGGTTGCTCGATTATGGCAAAAATCATAATCTCGATTATTTGGGTCAATAATTTATATCACGATTATTAAAAACGATTATCCATTTACTTTGAAAACATCCATTGATTGAAAAAAGTATGATTGAACAGTTGATTACCCTGAACTTTAAGTATAATTCAACTGAAAAACCAATAAAAAATAATAATCGTTTTATTTCGATTATGTTGTTTTCATAATCGTTCCAAGCCAAAATCGTAATTGCGATTAAAATACGATTAATTGAGCAGCCCTAGCTCCCGTTGCCTGAAGATGGTCGTCCTGTCTTTGGTGTTTTCAGAGGAGTTGTGTTGACCTGATTAGAACAGAATCAATCAAGATACGTGTCAAAAATACATTAGGATACAAGTCAAAAAATATTACAGTGAAATATAAAAAGATATTTACAAACGGCAAATAGCAGAAATGCGATTCTTACCAGGAATGAGAGAGGATGCTAGATCTGCCTGAAACTGTCTCCTGGTCAGGATCTCCTGCTTTGGGATCTTTGGAGCTTTTGCACTTCCTGCTTGTAGAGGAGCCAGGCGTTATCAAAGCAAGGATGGATGGTGTGCCAAAGATGTACACGTACCTGGCGTCGGGAGTCATGGGAACTTGTATTTGGTCCGTAACGAGTGCCAACAAATCCACACCTCCCATGTACTGTGTGTAAGTATCCACATGTAAGGCCTCTCACCTTCTACGTAGGTTTTGTTGGCTTATGTCCCAGCGTTGAATTCTCTGACAGGGTCGGTCCCAGCAAAGGAGGACACAATGGAATGACAGTATGCAACCCCACACATCCTTTACAGTGTTGTGGTTTGGCCTCCACTCGGATGTCAACGCTTCAGCTCTCCCTTTTTTCTTCAAGCTCTTCTCCTCTTTCAAGGGTTACAGTTGGTAAGCGCACTCTGCCTGTTCCCACATAATGAATCCCACGAATCAAGGAGCTTCACTACCAATGGGACACAGGTTGTTGGTTACGAGTGGGCAGACAAAACTGTTAGGACCCCAACATGCACGGGGACTCCAGACAAAAGATGATTCAATAAAAGGATTTTTACTGAAGTCGTTAAACAATCGGTAAGCCTTATATCATTTACACCACTGGGCGCTTAATAACAAAACAAACTTATTCGCAGAACACTGAGCTGACCTAGGCGCAAAATCCAAACAAGCACAACAGAATAGATTTTACCACAAAGCACACAAGGGACTCCATTCACAGGGATCCATCCCTCTCATTTGCACTATGAGTAATGAATTGCAAGAAACATGCTAAGATAATTCAGGCGCTCTGTGCGGCCAAACTAAGGCTAATATCGGTAGGTTATGGATACGAACTCACACTCCGAAAGTAAGGAAGATAGGAAAATTACAGAGTAAATTAACAGATAATGGCCTAAGACACGGAATTTGACAACAACTAAACGTAATGATGCCTCAGCTGTAGAAAATACTAGATACCTGACAAACACGACAATCATCGCTTCCTCCGATGACACAACAGACTACCCAACCCCAGCCTCTGACGGACCGACTCCAGACGGCCCAGGTTACCCGTTGGACTCTCACGCACTCTTGCAACAAAGTTCCTTTAATCCAGTGTCTGATACCACAACAAAAACTGTAGCTGCCTACTGATCCTCAAATCCACATGGACCGTATGTTCGCTGGAACAGTACCCTATCTCTCTAGTCCACAAGAAACTAGAAATCTAAATCGGAAAATCAAAGCGACGATGTCTTCTCTTTCTCTTGGAATTTGACTAGTAGTTTCTTTGATTCGTTGTATATCAGACCGCCGTTCATTATATCATTCCTTTTCGCGGGGGGAGGAGACATCGGGCTTGGATGGAGGAACAAAAACAGACCTCTCATCCGAAATGTCAAACCGGTAATATGATTTAGCCACATGAAAGGCTTAGGGATGTTGACTATCCTCATAGGACATCCTAGAGATAGCTGCAGCCCAGGAAACAGACATTCAGACGTTAATGACTTTAGTTAATGGATATATGGACCCATTTCACTCGCGAGCCGTTTCCTGAGGCCACACAAGACAATAAGGCCTGAGTCGGGTCTTGTAGATAACCAGAACCCTTCACACCATGGCCACTACCTCTGCTAGCAGGTGTGACTCAAAGCGGGACGAATCCGTAAATACCACCAACCCCTTCAAAAATGCTCGATCTGCTCCTCCACTTCATCTTAACCATAGCGAGCAGCACTCTTCACGGCAGAACCTGCCAGCCATGTATGCTCACAATGACCACAAAAACTCTGCGACATGGCACTCACCAACGAGGCTATCGTCGCTGCAAAGGATACTAGTCACTCTATCACCCATTCATCATACTGTCCTAAGAGGTAACAGATGCGTGTGTGTTCCTGTCACAGGCGCACGTGAGAACAGGGGAGAAATACCTCATAGGACGGATTGTGTTGGTTGGGTTTTGTGGCAAACCCCACACCATACTCCGCATGTTCCTGCTTGCCAACTAAATAAAATTAGTGGGATACATAACATAGGGACACACTATGACATCCGCTGCTGAACACGTCTCCTGTGACCTGATTGATCCTTTTCTCGATGACCATTGCAGCCTGTGTTGGATATTGAGGTAATCCAGATGTAATAACAATCAATTCCTTGCGAAACGGCTTGGGTAAGGCTCTCATTATCATATCGACTGACCAGAACATTCCATTCTTAAAAAAACACGAAAGTGCAACTCCAAACTGCGGCCACTAAACCCCAACTTTGGTCGTCGAACACCTACTGTCCATATGGGCAAAAGAAAATCCATCGTCACCCTGAAAAAACATAGAGCTCCACACAAACAGACATGCCTGCATTACATGCTGTTCATCTTAAGACATAGAGGGACTTGAATTTTCGTTGACATATGGCTAATACGTGATAAATATATCATTATTCCAGCTTACTTCAATGTCTCCACCATACCCAGTGCATTGATCACTAGACTTGGCGCTCGATTACATAGCATAAAGCTACACAGAAGACAGTCATGCCATAAGTACCGAATGTGGATCTCTCTCACCAAATCCATGCGGTGATATCAGATGCCCAACACATCCATATTAGAGTTCGTAACATATGGCTGCTGTCTCCTACCAATATGTGTGAACGGCAAAGTGTTTGTCACAGTTCATGACTCCATACAGTGATGACACATAGAAAAAACAACCCTAATGCAGCATAAGATCGCGCTCACTTATATTTCCCAAGCTACGCACATAATTTAGGACTAGTGAACTATGAGACTGGATCCATAATATCATACGTTAATACTACTCTTTACTCCAATTTGTATACGCACCAAACCCTCTCGTTTTGATCTCAAATTCGCCACTCACAACACTCATTGAACATTAAAACAAACAAACAAAAGCAAACACTAATTTCATACGACTCCGATATGTATGTCCCACATAGTGTATGACTATTTGTACCTATACAGAATGTGATAAACAATGCTCTCTTCCCACGCTGCAAACACTCCAGTACCGCAACAGACCGACCGTAGAAGAACAAAGAGTAACGTATAAGAATACAAACTCCTGCTCCTCGAAACCTACTGCACACCAGCGTTACCGGCTTTTTCCCCTCTAAAGTCTGGACACCTCGTCATCTATGCGCACTCATTACTTGCGGCATGTCACGACCGTTCCACTCCTATCACCTTGAGTGGGTGGTGAATGCCGTCCTGGAACAAGCGCCCTGCGCGGTCTCAAAAGCCCCTGGCATCCAAGCACTCTCTGAGTTCTGGCGTCCGCTTCACCTCCACCTCCACTTCAACACTATTTAACCTAACACTCCGCTTAACTTGCTCACCTTCAACTCAAAGCCAATACACCCTCCTCCTTCTGTATGCGCCAGCGACCTCTTGCCCTCCCGCTCCTATGCAAGAGAAGAA